CGTTATCCACTGCGATCATTTCACAGATTAATTAATGGTATTTCTTTGCTCTAGGATCATTCACATCCCACAACTTTTTCTTTTCTAACATATATTCTAAAGACGGCTGCTTCAAAATACCACTCACTTGTGATTCACTGGACTCAGAGACAAATTCTTTGCTACTTGAAGCAATACTTGTAGTACTAAAAATCGCGTGATACTCCGACTTATGTTTAATTTGCAAATGTCTTTTCATGGACGAAGTAGTCGCAATTTTTCCCACACCTCCACGTGATAGTTGGACTCCACACACATTGCACTTAGATTTGTTTTTTTCAACCTCCACAAAGTATTTCCAAACACCCGACCTTTTCGCACTATTCGACATCTTCTTGTAATAAATTACGCGTTGTCTACATAAAATAATTAATTAAACACACAAGCGTAACCTCTTTTACGTGAATACTCGTACAAGTGACAAATGAGTTTACAAATTATGAAATTAGGGTGTCTCCTGCGCAAAGGGGATTCCCCGTGCACAAATTTGTCGCGCTGCAATATCGCGCTGTTACTCTGTGTAGGAATGAAACTATACCATCAAGGTATCGATACTTTTACTCTATACTATACCGTATCCGTATCGTGAGAAGTGTTAGTTAATGATTTAACTTATTCATTACATAAAATTTTAAAAAAAGCTATGAAAAAATATCATTTTTTATGTGTTTTGTTTCCTAAGATCAATATTTTTTCTAGATGTTTTCCGATAAAACGATTTCTATAAGCAGTTATTTTCGCGCCAGATAACGAAAACAATCTGTCGAATATGAACTCCTGTTGTCTCATTTGACAAGTAATCAGTAATACCACATCAACAGTGTCCGTAGGTGTGTGACAGATCGAGTACCGATACAAGTACTTTTCTTTCGATACTACTTGGTACTGACTTTAAAAGTATCGATACCCAAAGTTTAAGTACTTACGTACGAACAAAGTACGTAAGAAAAGTATCCAGTAACTACTTGTATTTACTCGTATCGTTTCATCCCTAACTTTGTGTAAGGGAAATAACCGCACGCCGCCCGCTACCGCGTTTTTTTAAAGCGGAGTATTCGGCCGAGTACTCGGCCCAACCTAGGCCGAGTACTCGGCGAATAACTACTCGTTCCATGTCTACATGTATTGACGTGAAACAAAAACTAGTGTGATGTACGTAAAGTAAGCTTCAATAATAGATATATTTGAATGACATATTTTGACCTACTTGTCAGGTTCATTATCCATAGCTACGCCATTTATGAAACATCCGAATCCTGATCTGCTTAAGCTCTCAATCAGTTGGTTCATGTACAAATTAAATCAGCCTTGGCAACGTCAGCAGCCTCTGTCCCATACCACACTCCGTATTGTAGGCTTCGCTATATGCGTTATCCATCTAACTACATTTGCTTGGTCACCGTACTAATACCCAAACATGGTGATTAATTCTGGTCTTAAGCTGGTTTCCTTTGTAAGCTTCTGGCATAGAATTCTACAGGACACTCGGTCAATAGCTTTAGATAGATACAAGAAATCCACATAAACCTGCATTTTTCTATCAGCCTAGTACTACCGCAGTTTGCTAGAGGCACTGTATTGCGCTTTCAGTAGATAGTTCAGGCCTAAAGCTAAGCTTGAGTGAAGATAAAATAATGGCAGAGCTACTACGTCCACGTACACAGTAGTTAGTTTAATTTTTATTTCCAAAATGTTGCTTATTATCTATAAAATAGGAGCGAAACATCTCATCCACTAAAATATCGTTGTAGTGTGTTCCCTGTAAATATGATCGTAAAACTATGCATTGAACATCCCTGAAACTTGTATAGAAAATACATTAAGCAATATGCAACACAAACTGAAGTCCACTCATTCTGAATCCTATCAACATTCCAGTCTCATATTTTACAATTCCTTTTTAAAAACTCTAGATGATATCGTGCAGGTGATCGTCCATATGGATCAAAATAGTGAACGATGCCATTCGTATCGATATATAAAGCTATCTAATGTAAGCCTGCTTTATCATCTGTATCCAAATTGCACATTACATACGTTGGTACGTGGGTATACATGGGCAGTTTATTAGCAGCATAAACATTATTTTATAGACTGGGATGAATCTTTTTCAGATGTTGTTGTATAATTAATATTTTCAGTATTTTGTTTAAATACATATGCCATTATATATATTAAATAATATAAAAATGTTTATTTGTCGAGATAGACCCTGTAACAAAAACTGTCTAAAACTGCCACATTTTACGGACCCCTATTCTTTTACTTATAAAGATCAAAAGTATAAAAAATATATTTGTACTACTCAATGAGCTCTAGGCAATTATATTGTTACGCGCCACTATTAATGTCTTGTACATGGCAACACTAGTTACACTAGCGCCCCCTAGTGTCGAGTAAATGAAAGTATTGCGCGCCACTATTAATGTCTTGTACATGGCAACACTAGTCACACTAGCGCCCTCTAGTGTCGAGTAGCAGAACTAGGAGAGTCGAGATCCTTCCAGAAATTTCGGGACCGATATGTACTCGAACATTCTAGATGTCGCTACAGTAGAAGGTTCTGGAAACTATCTGAGGCCCTATATAAGGCCGGTATAGACCACGACCGGGGCAGTATTGAATTGGCGATACAAGAGAATAACTTCGAAGCGAAATAACGGCGAACTGTGTTTTATTATTAGTGTGATTTTAGATTGTAATTAGTGTTGTGTAATTAAAGTGTTAATTTTGGTAATTCAATCGGCAGTTTTTAATTGTCTCGAACCCCAAGTTCGTAACAATTGGTGTCAGAAGTGGGATCAAATATGCCGATTTTACCTAAAGACGACACGGAGGGTATCCGTACCCGAAGTCAACGCCAACAGGAGACGGACCAGAGACGATTTGGTAATGCAACGCCGCAAACGTCGGAGGGCCAGTTGCTAACCACGGAGGCTGGCCCGTCAGCAGCTCCTGCATCTGCAGCACCTGACTTAGGTGTTCTGATGATGATGCTGCAGGATCAGGCCCGCCGACAGGAGGAACAGGCCCGCCGACAGGAGGAACAGACCCGTCGGCTGGAAGAGCAGCTGCAGCGCGGTATGGAAGAACAGATGCTCCTCAGGAAGGACCTTCACGCTACCTTCGGGAAAGAGATAAAGGAGGTGAAGGATAGGGTTGCTCAACATGACAACCGCCTGTCGGAAGCTGAAACCCGAATCGACCAAGTGAACAATCGGGTTGACAACGTGATGGCTGATGTGAAGAAAACGCTGGACGACCTCAAACTTGGGGATGGAGTAACAGCTCCCGTGGTAGCTACAACACCTTCGCTACGTGGATTCAAAGTGCCACCGTTCGACGGCACTTCTTCCTGGTCGGCCTATAAAATCCAGTTCGAGGCTGTCATGAAAGCGAACGGCTGGAATAAAAGTCAGGCCATGACTGCTCTCACCCTAGGCCTGCGCGACCAGGCATTAACTGTTCTGGAAGCTCTCGGTAAGGAAGTGACTTACGAGCAGCTCCTTGAGGCATTGGAGGCGAGATATGGCGACGCTCACCTGGAACACGTCTTTCGTGCGCAGCTCAAAGATCGCGTGCAACGCAGTAACGAAAACCTGCAGCAGTGGGCCCTTGAGGTGGAGAAGCTGGTTCGAAAAGCGTACCAGTCTGTACCTGCGCTTATTGTAGTGAACTTGGTGCAGACATTCATCGACGGCATCCGCGACCTTGAAGTCAGAGCTGCTGTGAGGCTCGGGCACCACGAGACGCTTAAGGACGCCTTGACCCATGCACTAGAGGTGGAAGCCGTGCGACAGGATCATCGTTCCCACCGCGTCAGGGAGGTTGCAGCAGCTAAAGTTCAGGACCGCAATAAAAGCTACAGCCCTAGGTGCTACGGCTGTGGAGAAAGGGGCCATCTTCGATCCAGCTGCCCTAAGCGAACTGTAAAAAGGGAAGGTGATCGATCTCGAGAGGGTAGTGCGGATAATAGCACCGCCCAGCAGCAGCAGGGAAACTGGCGGGTGCTGGCTGATGTTAAAAGAGCCCCAAGGATTTCGATCTCACAAACTCATGATGGGAACAGCCTAATCATCAAGGGCGAAGTCAACGGAACGCCATGTAAACTGACCATAGACACTGGAGCCTCTCGCACGGTTGTCAGTTCCCAACTTATAAGTCGGTTCCTTGGTGACTCCGCATACAACCGAGAACGCATTAATTTGGTGACAGCCACTGGTCAGCGCATACCCGTCCGTGGAGAGAAGGAGATGGAGTTGAAGCTAGGCAACATGATCTACCTGCATAATGTCATCGTGGCTGATATAATGGACGACTGCATCCTGGGCCTAGACTTTATGAGGAAGAATTGTTGTGAGATCGACGTTAAGCAAGGTGTTTTGAAATGTGGACAAGAAGAACTTTTCATGGAAGGGGCGTTACCAGGGAATGTGTACAGCCTTAAGAAGATTGTTCTTCCGCCGAGATCGGAAACGATTGTGCCGGTTAGTCTTCCTCGGAGTCCTGGGCAAGCTCATCGTTGTGTACTCGTGGAAAGGGTAGACAATGACCTTCCATGGAAAGTGGCTCGAACCTTGGTCAGAACCACCGACATCTCAGGAGTACGTGTGTTGAACCTTTGTGATCAGGAACAGATTATAGAAAAAGGCACATTGGTTGGTACTAGTGAGGAAGTGGATTGGTTGCGTCGGTGCGAATATCTATCGACCGGGACCCCTAGCAAGGATGGACAAACGAGAGTGACCACACTTTTAGAAGACTGTCGCAGCGTTCTCTCCCCGAATGAAATGGTCAAGGCGAAGAAGTTGTTACTCAAGTACGCCAATGTTTTCTCGTCAAACGAAGCTGACATAGGAAAGACTGGCTTAGTTCAACACAAAATAAACACAGGACAAGAATTGCCTATTCGTCAGCGGCCAAGAAGATAGCCTGTAGCACGTGAAAAGGAAGTGGAAACCATGATTGAGGGAATGGTGAAGGATGGTGTTATTGAACCTTCATCTAGTCCATGGTGTTCACCTGTGGTGCTGGTAAAGAAGAAGGACGGCAGCATGCGGTTTTGTGTTGACTACCGCCGCCTGAACGACGTTACGAAGAAGGACAGCTATCCCTTGCCTAGAATTGATGACACGCTGGATATGCTCACAGGCGTAAAGTGGTTTAGTACGCTGGACCTGAAAAGTGGCTACTGGCAGGTTGAAATTGACCCTAAGGACAAGGAGAAAACTGCATTTTCCACAGGAAAGGGTCTGTCGCAATTTAAAGTCATGCCGTTTGGATTGTGCAATGCTCCAGCAACGTTTGAAAGGTTGATGGAGCTTGTACTTACCGGGCTAATTGGAGATGCCTGTCTCGTCTATTTGGATGACATCATCATCGTAGGCCGTACGTTTGAGGAGCACCTTCAAAACCTGGAACGCGTGCTCATGAAGATCCAGAGTGCCAACCTCAAGTTGAGTCCAAAGAAGTGCTCACTATTCAAACGGCAAGTAAGTTTTTTGGGGTATGTAGTGTCGGAAGAAGGTATCCGCACGGATCCAGAGAAAATTGCTGCTGTCAAGGAGTGGCCGGTCCCAAAAGACAAGACACAGGTTAGAGCATTTTTGGGTTTGTGCTCTTATTATCGGCGATTTGTGAAGAACTTTGCAGATATAGCCAAACCTCTGCACAAGCTAACCGAGGAGAAGCGACAATTCTGCTGGGATGAAAGTTGCGATATTGCATTCCAGGAGCTCAAGAACCGTCTGTGCAAAACACCTATTTTGGGGTACCCTGATGCGGGCAAGGAATTCATAGTTGACACAGACGCAAGTGATATAGGACTTGGCGGTGTGTTGTCTCAACGGAATGGTGATCAAGATATTGTGATAGCGTACTTCAGCAAGTCGTTGTCAAAAATCCGGAAGGACAAGTTGCGAGATGGATAGAACTACTGCAGGAATACGACTTTGTGATCGAACATCGCAGCGGGAAATCTCATGGCAATGCAGATGCATTGTCAAGAAGACCTTGCCCTGAAGATTGCAAGCATTGTACTAGGCAAGAGGGTAAGGAAGTGGAATCTGTGAGAATGCTCAGGACAGACCAGCTCAGCAATGAGTGGAAGGACAGCCTACAACATGCACAGCAGGAAGATTCGGACATTAAGCCGATTCTGGAATGGATGAAGGCCAGTGTTCCTAAGCCCAAGTGGAGCGACGTCTCATCAATGAGTTCGACCACGAAAAGCTATTGGGCCCAATGGGACAGCTTGCTGATTCAGGATGGAGTCCTGTGCCGTAAATGGGAAAATGGTCGGGGAGACAGGTGTCATTTGCAAATGGTTGTCCCTAAGGCTAAAGTGCCGGATATTCTACGGCTGTACCATAGTGGTTGTTCAGGAGGCCACCTGGGAGTTAAACGAACTCTCCTGAAGATCCGAGAACGGTTTTACTGGGTCCACTGTCGTGACGATGTCGAGGACTGGTGCCGCAAATGTACAAGTTGTGCGGCTGTAAAGGGACCTCAAATTCGTAGTAGAGGCGCATTGAAATTGTACAATGTTGGTGCACCATGGGAGAGGATAGCCATTGACATTGCGGGGCCGTTTCCAGAAACTGAAAGTGGTAACAAGTATTTCATGGTAGTGATGGATTACTTCACTAAGTGGCCAGAAGTCTTCGCCATTCCAAATCAAGAAGCTTCAACAGTCGCAGATAAACTAGTTCATGAAGTCTTCTGTCGTTTTGGAGTACCTTTAGAGATTCACAGCGATCAAGGAAGGAATTTTGAGTCTCAAATATTCCAGGAAACTTGCCGAGTTATGGGTACTCAGAAAACACGAACAACTTCTTACCACCCACAATCTGATGGAATGGTAGAAAGATTTAATCAGACATTGGAGAGGTACCTAGCAAAAGTTGTGGAAAAACGGCAACGAGACTGGGACAGGCACATACAACCGTTTTTGTTGTCATATCGAAGCGCTGTTCACGAAAGTACATCAGTGACACCAGCTTTCGCAAACTTTGGGAGAGAATTGCGGCTGCCTGCAGACCTGATCACCGGAATACCACCTGATGCCCCACGCAGTATAACCGATTATGCAAATGACTTGCGGAACAAAATGAATGACATTTATGAGCACGTCAGACAGACGGGCCAGCAAACGTCTGAGAAGATGAAAACACGGTATGACCGCAAAATGAACAACAAGGGCTTTGATGAAGGTTCACTAGTGTGGTTACACAATCCAGTTCGCAGCAAAGGGAAATCTCCTAAGCTTCAAGCTAAATGGGACGGACCGTACCGGATTGTGACAAGGATCAATGATGTAACCTACCGGATACAGAAAGGTGCCAGAGGTACTCCTAAGATTGTCCATGTGGATCGACTGGCGCGTTATTATGGGGCCAATAATGCTCGGGACGAGCATGTCTTAGGAGGGGGCAGTGTTACGCGCCACTATTAATGTCTTGTACATGGCAACACTAGTTACACTAGCGCCCCCTAGTGTCGAGTAAATGAAAGTATTGCGCGCCACTATTAATGTCTTGTACATGGCAACACTAGTCACACTAGCGCCCTCTAGTGTCGAGTAGCAGAACTAGGAGAGTCGAGATCCTTCCAGAAATTTCGGGACCGATATGTACTCGAACATTCTAGATGTCGCTACAGTAGAAGGTTCTGGAAACTATCTGAGGCCCTATATAAGGCCGGTATAGACCACGACCGGGGCAGTATTGAATTGGCGATACAAGAGAATACTTCGAAGCGAAATAACGGCGAACTGTGTTTTATTATTAGTGTGATTTTAGATTGTAATTAGTGTTGTGTAATTAAAGTGTTAATTTTGGTAATTCAATCGGCAGTTTTTAATTGTCTCGAACCCCAAGTTCGTAACAATATCTTGCATGCTAGGGTAATAAAAAAATTCGGCTAGCTTTCATGTAAGCCCATTCACGGGAAGCCCCTTAAAAACAATTTAATTGATTTTCTCATTTAATATTCAGTTTTGGGGCTACTTAATCTGAATTTTAGGTCTTTAATTCATTCCGTTTACGTGTTAGAGATCCGTAACATACGGACGGACAGATAGACAGACAGTGGAATGACAAGGGTATGGAATCTCTTAAAAGGGTCTAAAAGGAGGTGCTTCAACTTCCGATATATTTCAGTGCTCCCGAAAACCTATAAGGTACTATTTACGTAAGTGAGTGGGTGGTCTGAAAAGCTTCCGACCTAACAAAGATACAAGACATTTTGTCTTAAAATTTATTTTTATTTTTCTACGTAGTCTCCCTAACCCTCTCTCTAACCCGTCCGAATAGTACTCGGCGTTTTTCTCTGCAAAACAATTTTTCACGAAGGTTTTGAAGATAAGCGATTAAGATAACTCCATGGCTATCCCAAAAAACAGTCGCCATCCCTTTCCCAGCCGAAAAAACAGTATTTTGCTTTTTTTTGGAGCCGGTCCACTGGTTTGACTGTATTTTTATCTCGGGCGTGCCAAAACTGCGCCTAAACTATGCCAACAGCCAACAGAGCGTTGGAAATGTTTATTCAAAAACATTTTTGGTTTATGGTGAGTAAACGCGGCACTCAACGCGCTGACAGCTTTCTCATGCCTAAATATTGATTTAATATGTGACAAATACGTTCTTTGGACATTTTCATAGCATCTGCTATCGCTCTCACTTTAATTCAGCGGTCGTCTAGCACCATTTGGTAAACTTTAGCGATGTTATCGTCAGTAGTTGCAGTTTTTGGACGTCCCGAACGTTAATCGTCTTCGTCTCCCAAGCTCTTATGGACACGTTTAAATTCAGTCGCCCAAAATTTCACTGTGGTAAATGATGGTGCAGTTTCCATACACAGAGTCCAACTCATCTTTGATAATGACAGCCCGATACTCAATTTTTTCCATTTTCACAAAAACACTCACATCGACTCATTCAAACGACTATCAAATAACAACTATTCGTCCAAAATGGCTGAAATTTCGGTGCGTAACTGTAAAAAGATGCACAACTACATTCACTAGCTTTTATTGACGAGTGCTGCCATCTTCATGTTGAGGTCGGAACTTTTCTGACTACCTAGACACTCCTGAAGTTGTAGTAGGCTGGCTCGAACGCCTGGCAATTTTTTTTAGTAATTACCAATCGGGCTTTCGATGAAACCGTTTTACGGTTTAGGGCTACCAGAAGGAATTCGTACATAATTTGCATATCCTCTTTGTTGATTTCAAGAATGCTGCAATAAAAGCAACAACAGAGAAGACTATGATGAAAGTTAAGGTAGGTGACGAACTGTTCGCCGCCTATATCTGGGTTTGGTGCAAACGTTAGCCACATATGGTGTCCCGTATGGGCGGGATCCTGACAGAGGAAAACATTACGTTCTTGGAAATACTTCAAAGGGTGATGGCCGTCGGTGTCATTGTCATATAGGTATATCGCGCTATCCCCTGTGAGCTCCTCCTGAGGCTGTTCGTCTGGTCTTGTTAGACTGGATGTACAGGCGGCACGGGCTAATGACCTTCCGGCTGGTGTAGGTGTTTCCGAGCATTTATGCTTTGGTAATTTCCTGTGCGAAATAGTAGGAAGATAGCCGACAACGACTGCCGCCACCTTGGTATCGACTATTGCTACTATTCCCTACACGATTGACCGGTGTGGGCTTAGTTGCGTCGTGGCACCGGTTATATTTTACGGCACGTATAATCCAAAACTATCACTGCTAAAGGGGAACTGTTTTTGTGCTTTATTTTCATAAATTAATTATTTTATTTATATTATTTAGATCAAGCCCAGTTACATCGCTATCATTAGACATCCAGCAAACAAACCTTTGAGGTTGCTGCTTAGACAAATTAAATAACAAATACTATAAAATGGGTAGTAAGATAAGGAAGCGATAATAAAAACATGTTTTATTATGTATATATACGTGACATTAGATTATACAAGTTATGTTGGTACATACATACGATTACGTGTAATTAACAGTGCATTTTCAACAAAAAAGGTGGTACAGCGTATGCAAGTCCTTCAACCTATCAATACAGTCATAGATCACATTGTATATATAGTAAATATAATAAAAACAGGGAATAATTTCACGCTGTTTCTATGTTTTCACGTTGTTTTCTACACAAATGTTAATAATATTAATTTATAAATGGTACGCTATTCAGTTTCAAATTCATACAAATTATGAAAACACTAAGACACAAATATAGGGTGAAAAAGACAAATACCCATAAACATGTCATTCTTAGTTTCTCAACACAGGAATATTTCGATGGCTATTTTTTATAATAAATATTTTTTGAGTACAAACATATATGCCACTACAATATTAAAATTGAAAATTAAAAGAACTTTCTTAATAAAAATATGTGTAATTCTATCAGAATTACAGATTATATCTAAGTCTTTATCAACTAATACAATGTAACAGAAGTATCATTAAAATCATTAAAATAAAATAAAACTGATATCAAAGTAATTAATAAAAATGCAAAACTTTATAGGTACAAAATCTGTACATTATGTTTATTTACGATACATATAAATTTAAAAGGGAAATTATTAAATTAAAAAATATTTGTAGCAGATTGATTATAACATTATAACATATAACATTCTATAATACTGACTGGAGCAGCATTTTAGTATTTTTGCAAAAAATTTATTGAACTGGCTCGTAATGTCATAAATGCATAATGTCTATTAAAAATTAGGGGAGGGATACATAATAATAAATGATCAAATTAAATACTGAGTGAGTGACGAGAAATACTGTATGTAAAAGCCAGTAAGTTAAGCTCAAATTGCAAGGCCTACCCCAAGGCAGTGAATATTTATGTAATATGCATAAAGATAACATTACGCTAATGTGATCTACGTATTATGGTTCTCTTTTTTAATACTGTTACTCAAAC